GTACAGGCCTGCTAACATCTCTCAGCAATCTACTGCTCCCAGAATCCTTTGAGTGAAGCCATGACTGTTCAAAGTGGTATCATTGTGCTTTAAATATATTGTGTGAATGTGGCCCAACAGTCCAACAGACAGTTCCCTATCTGGGATAGCCTACCTGGGAAAACCGTTTTTAACCTGTGAAAATTCTACAGAGCACAGCAAGCATACAGCTCTGGATGGGATAAAGTTGGGGGGGGGGCAGATGGCAAGTTGCCCAGTTATGCTTCCTAAGGCATGATGGGATTTGAGAATTGCAGAGGCTCTTCTGTTATACGCCAGCAAAAACAATGAGCTTGTCAGCAATCTTAACAAGATGGTCTTTAACCTCTGTCACTGGGAGATGGCAGACAGCCCTCCGAGCTAGGAAGTCTATTGCACGGTGCAGTTGTTCAGCTTCAAACATTACACACCACCTTTCTCCTCTGTACTGGATATGATCACACACACCTGACAGCAGGCAGCTGAGCCCTGGCAATCTGGAGATCAGGGCTTGCTGCTTAGGCTAGAGCAGGCATGGCCAAACTTGGCCCTCCAGATGTTCTGGGACTACAATTCCCATCATCCCTGACCACTGGTCCTGTTAGCTAGGGGTGATGGGAGTTGTAGTCCCAAAACATCTGGAGACCCACGACCTTGCAAGGCAACCTGCTCCATTCTCAAGCAACTCGTACCATTCAAGATCACCCCAGGAGCATGCGCAGAGTCACTTCCAAGCGTCACTCACAATGCAAGACCCTGCAGACTTAGGACAGAGGAGAACGCCTTCCAGTTCAAAGGCTATGGCTTTCCCACAAGCCTGAGTCACACCACTTCTCTTTTCAAGAAATCCAGTGCCAAATCCTTATATATAACCCCAGCTAAGATAAAAAAAGATTTAGCAGCCTGATCCTATGCACATCATGGCGTGGCATTGTGTCACTAGCTCTGACGTCTTTTGAAGGGAATTAGGCCAATGCACAGAGGATCTGTCTGTCAACCCTGATTGCCAAAGAGGTCTGCAATACTCAGTGGCAGCTAGAACAGAAGCTAGGTGCCTGGTGCCACCTTAAATTGAGCTCAGGCTTGGTTTGCCCTGGATAGAAACCTGGCTCCTGTGCGCTTGCAGTGGTGAGATTACTTTGGTGTGTGACTTTTGCTGGAAAATAGACAACTGGAGTGCATTCCTGTTGATTCTGGTGGACCTCTCAGTGATGCTTCAGTACCATTATCAGCCACACTATCTTTCTGAACATGTGGCTGGGATGGAACTGCTTTGAAGCTGCTTTGGTCCCTCCTGGAGGGTGTGTGTGTGTGTGTGTGTGTGTGTGTGTGAAAAATTCCCTTCCCAGAGTAAGTCAACTGGCACAGGGCAGTCATTTATTTATTGTTATTTTAATGCTATTGTTATCATTGTGAGAGCTGCATTGAGCTTGACACTGTTGTTGAGAAAGCTAAGTGCACATGTTAAACCAATCAATCAATCACTGGATATTATTATTAGTTACGTCACATTTTTTGACATGAGATCATGGCAGCAATTTTTGGCATCACAAGCTTGCATGATTTTGCACCACACTCTCACTCCAAAAAGCTTTTTTTTTTCCCCTCCAGGGCTGCGAACTTGTATGGTGTTCCAAAACGTGTGTTTTGAGGCATCATGCTCTCATGCAAGCGCACGGGCCTGAAAAAGTGCTTTTTAGGAGGCTGCAATCTCGCACAGGTTATGTGAGTCACCTGTGAGCATGGCCCAAAAGCTCAACAACTTTGTGGGGTTTCCTGGTTTTTACTTTTTGCAATATGGCAACCCTAGGATTGAGGAATATGGCAGAGCTGGTGCAATTAGTACCAAAATCGGGCCTCCACAACCGGTGACCCACCAAGCTGAACACAGTCCACTTCTCCAATGTGTTGTGGTCTGCCTTGTACTCAGCAACCCCATCTTTCAGCTCTCCCAGGAAAACAAGCAAAACATCAATTTGAATGACTTTCTAGCAGGCTATGGTTTGCGGCTGATGAGCTGAGGCCAGCTTGGTGGTTCGTGTTGCACAGGGATAAGCAACCACCAACCATCGTTGTGGATGGCCTTCAGTTTTGAGAAGAAAGGAGTCATCAGGTGTCAATACCTGTCTCTAACCTTCCTTTCACAGTGTTGGGATACTCCTTAGTGGTTTGACAATTTCATCTGTTCCAGGCTTCAGAGAGGCATAACACTGAAAAACAGATGCCTGGGAAGAATCCTGGCATGAATTAAACCCTAGCCTTCCCTAAATCAGCTCAAGTGTATTTGGACTTCTCTGGATTATAAATGGAGATGTTAAGAGTGCCTGGAATTCAGCCACCTCTGGGGGGAATACAACCTGGTTGCCATGTAAGGGGAATGGTGGAAACTGGGATGGCACTTGCCCACAAAATGGGGAAAGAAGACAGGAAGTTCATTTGCAGCTCCCTTGGGTGGCTAGAGACAGGAACCATGTGCTCTGCAGACACCTGAGGACTGCTTCACCTGCTGCATTAAGAGCTTGAGCTCGTCACATCTGATCATGGCAAACCCATGGTTACTCATTCCTCTGAATACCATTTGCGGGGAATAAAAAGTGGGGAGAGTTGTTCTTGCACTCAGTTCTGTCTTGCAGGCTTCCCATAGGCATCTGGTTGGTCAGTGTGAGAACAAGATGCTGGAACAGATGTAACCTTTGGCCTAAACCAGAATGGCCCTTCTTATATTCTTATGTTAACTAGTTGTCATCGCTCCTTTAAAGTTCCATAGAGGCTGAGCTCCAACAGGTGTTATCCTGGGGCAGATGCCACAGGAGTCTGCATGTATTTTAGGGGTGGGGGGGGAGAGTTAAATACTGAAAGAGGAGATCAGGGTCATCTCTCCTAGCAAAAATGAGAAGATAGTTCCTGTACATGGTGTCTCAGGTTCTACAAATGCTTGAACCTTACTCTTCTTCTTTTTTTAAAAAAAAAAAAAGGAAGGTGGGAAATCTGGGGATAATTCATCCAAAGGGAACAAGAACACTTCCTTGCTGCCACCATGCAAGCACCAATGCCCTAGCCCAGGGGTCAGCAAACTTTTCCAGCAGGGAGCCGGTCCACTGCCCCTCAGACCTTGGGGGGGCAGACTATATGGGGGGGGGAATGAACAAATTCCTATGCCTCACAAATAACCCAGAGATGCAGTTTAAATAAAAGGACACATTCTACTCATGGAAAAACACACTGATTCCCAGACCATCCATGGGCCAGATTGAGAAGGCGATTGGGCTGGATCCGGCCCCTGGGCCTTAGTTTGCCTACCCATGCCCTAGGCCCTACGATCAGCAAGGATGCAAGCCACCAGGTCACCATTGCTGAAGGGCATTGTGGGAAATTTAAATGGCCACCTGCCGCTTGGCTCTGATGGCAGTTCTGACACTTTACCAAGGATGCCATCAAACTTGGAGCCTCCATTGGAGGTTGAGAGTTTCAGAGGGACGTCTTCTGGAGGGGAAACCATGTTTGTGGGTTACAGGAAACATAGAGTCTTACTGCATCTTAAAGGTGAACAAGTTTATTACGGCATATGTTTTTATGGGTCAGAGCATGCATAAAGCGATAACTTATAGGGTATAAATATCCTGGCTACATGCACAATAAGAAAAAATATTGCCCCCCCAAACACCAGCAGTGTAAGAGTTAGATGGTTGGAGGAGTGCCAAAGTACTTATTCAGAGCCTGAATGAAAACAGAATCCAGTCAAATGAATCTAAGACTTAACTGGTATAGGCACAAGTCATCTATCTGCTAGTGACTAATGGGGTGCTCAGCAGTGAAAGCAAGCATGTCCAGAAAGGGAATTGCTCTCTGCTGTGAGCTTGCGACTTACAGAAATGGTTGAGAACGAGATCCAAGGATATAAATTCCTAGATGCTGGGATTCACTTAGGCACATGGACTTGGTATGCCTCTTGGCACCAGAGGCTGAAGCCAGCCTTCTCCAAGTTCTTGGGTGTTTGCAGCATGTCGGAAGGGGCTCTATGCATGCTCCTATGTGCTTGCAGAGAGCTTATGCACTGTGGGAACTGGAATCCCTGTTTTTGGAAGTCAATTTCACAGAAGGTATATCATCCTTGGAGATGGAACTCCAGTAGTTGCTTCCTTCCCACCCCACCCCCCTCCTGATATCACTTTTGGAAGTGTAGAATAGGCAACAGCTCTAGAGTTTCCAGCCAAGATCCCAAACCACCATCCAACAAATCGTGCAAACTCAACAGAGCTTTAGATGTGTGGCTTTTTGCACGGCAGGCAGCCCTGGGTTCAAACCTTCACTCAGCAGCAAAGCTTACTGCCTTGAGTAAGCTTCTTCTACCTTTTTCTCCCAGGAGCTCAAGGTGGCGACATGGTTCTTCCCCCTGCCATCTGCCCTTTAATCTGCACAACAACCCTGTGAGGTGGGTTAGGCTGAGAGGCAGTGACTGGTCCAAGGGCACCCAGTGGGCTTCGTGGCTGAGTGGGGATTTGAACCTTGATCTCCCAGGTCCTAGTCCGACGCTCTAACCGCTACACCACACTGCCTCCAATAATTCTCATCTATCTGTATATGACTCAACCTCACAAGGTTGTTGTGCAGATAATCCCCACTCCTGATACGCCATCTCTGAGCTTCTTGGACTGAAAGAGACAGATACCAAAAGATAAATAAATGCCATGCGTATCTTCTTTGTCTTCACAGGCATAATCAGGACCCTTTTCCTTTTGCTCTCTTCCCAGCTGGCTCTGCAGCAGATTACCAAAGATTTCTCTCTTTTTGTGGGGTGTGGGGTGGGAAATGCATATGTAATGAGGAGCTTCAAGTTCTGGAGGACCCGAATCAACAACTGGTTACTTAGTTCCTGGTTTGTTAAGAGAATGGGGATCAGAAATGCAGGAGAATCTTAGATATTAGAAACCAATCACTCAGCACCTCCCGATCATATATTTGACATCTACCTTAGCACTTACCTCCCTAGGTTGGGGAAACCGGACACCTGGGTCCCTTCAGGAAAGGAGGAAGAAAACCCTCTATTGCATCACCACCGCCCAGTCTTGTCCTCGGGATTTCTTTTGCAATCTCAGATCTTCTTCTCTGCTCTGTAAGTTTGGAGTAGCGGTCCCTTGCTGGCTTCTCTTCGCTCGAGTCCTGGATCTCGCCCGCCGCTCCACCTGGACCCTTTGCATCCAACCGAAAAGTGTCCTATAATATTATATAGTATGTAGATGATATCCTGTCTGCTTTACCTATGGTTTATTAATTACGGTTAACATTAACCATCAGTCCTTGTGGGATGTAATCCACTGGGAGCAGTCAAATACAACATTCTTTGTTTTCCTAGAGAAGACATGCGGGGGAATGTTTGGTCCAGGCAGTCGAAAACTTCCTATTTCCTCCTGACTGGAGCATCCTTCCTTTGCATGTGACTAGATGTGGGCGTGACCTTACCTGTCCAGGTAACAAAAGGACAAGGCATGCTACCACTCTCTCTCTTTTCCATCTTCCTTTCGCCAGTCTGCAGTCACTGGACTTAACTCCCCCCAATATGGGGTAGATCCCACATGTACATATTTGTAACTAAGTCTGCCTTCAGGGATCCAACTGTGAACTGAATGTGAGTAAACTTCTTTTAGTGACTTTAAATAAGATTGTCATTATTCTTTTAAGAGGGATAAAGGGGAACTTATCAGGAACATACAATTCAATAATGAATTGTATGATAGTAAGAGGCTTACACAAGCCTGCAACCAGCTATCTGCTGCATGTTAGAAGGGGAAAGTAAACTCTGCTAATTAAAGGGACTTGCTAGCACAAGTTAGGAAGGATATTAATAAACAATATATCCTCTCCTGCCACCCTGAGCATTCCCACACTCCTTAGCAACTCCTGCTTGTGTTACACGGGTTCACTGCATCTTGCCACTTCAAATTACTTGCATTCAGTAAAAAGGATGGGCTTCCTCACATGTCCTCTGGGAGGTGTTAACAGGCCACATTGGGACCACCATGGCTGCCCAAACGGCCTCTTAGATTTCTCACACATCTTGAGAGCAGCTTCAAACATGACAAAAAGGGGGGGAAAGTGCCAAGGCATGAACCGTAGAGTCTTATTTCCTCTTTTGGCACTGCTGGGTTAACATGCAAAGTAGGCAATATGCACTCAGGTCCTCCCACCCTCCTTGGGGAGATGAGCACCCTCCTTATTTTGTGAAGTCACTTTCGATGGGATCTGGCCCCCCACCCATCCAACACGACCACACACAAACATGGAACATGATTCTCTACAGTTTTAACACTTGGTGTTATTTGTGGCAGCGAACAGAGTCCTTGTTTCTTCGGAAAATCCTTTTCCAGCAATGAGTCAGAGTGCCGAAAAGCACATATATGCCCCTTTTCCAGCAGAGCAAGGAAAATAGAAGGAGCTCAGTGTCACATCATCCCTTTTCTGGAAATAGTTGGAGAGTAAGAGTCTCTGCTAGGCATCACCAAGCACCTCACCCTGCTGTGAACCATCTCCGCAATGCCGCTAGGAACATGTGAAGCAGCATCCAGGATATCAGGAGCCATGGGAACATTTCTCATGACTCCTGATTTATTTGTCTCCTCCATAACTATCAGAGCAGTGCCTAGGGCAGGCATAGGTGAACTCGGCCCTCCAGATGTTTTGGGACTGCAGCTCCCACCATCCCTAGCTAACAGGACCAGTGGTCAGGGGTGATGGGAGTTGTAGTCCCAAAACATCTGGAGGGCCGAGTTCGCCTATGCCTGGCCTAGGACCTAGTGGAGGCCTTGTAAGCCACATTCACCACTGGCTGACTTTGGGGGAAACAGACAAGAAGCAAGACATGGGGGGAAGCTCATGGGTGGCATGGGAGCTCAATGGATGGAGAAGGGACAGCCCCATGCCTTGTGGAGCTCATGACAGTGGTGCCTAGTCAGAATGAGCTTGCATCCTACATGCGCTCACCAAATTAAACTTATTTTCGTCAAAACATATTCAAAATAAAACTGGAGGGAAGTGGCTCTCACCCATCATTACTTCTAGCCTTCAAGAACCAAGAGGGGAGAGGCTCAATTGGTAGAGCATGAGACCCTTAATCTCGGGGTTGTGGGTTCAAGCCCCATGTTGGGCAAAAGATTCCTGCATTGCAAGGGGTTAGACTAGATGTCCAACTCTACAATTCCATGATTCCTCAACCCAGCATGGAAAAGGACTTATGGAGCTTCTCCGGGCACAGTCCAGCTAGCCTCTGAGGTGCAGAAACTGCAGAGGTGCATGATACTGAGATTTCAGTTTCGGGGGCCTGGAGCCATTTCTGTCAGACTTAAATCAAATGTTGTAGTATCTGCTTGGCCCACAAAGAAAGTCTCAGTCTCTGGCCATGTCCTTAGATGTAGATGGTCATAACCTGGAACAGCAAACTGCCTCCTGGGGGCCTGCTCTCCCCAGTTTTTCACTCTCTCTATAGAACACCTTGCGGATCACTGAAGGCAAGGCACAGACTCTCTCTACCCTGGTCAGGAAGCCCCAGCATGAACGTTGCACTGCAGAGGAAGAAAAGTAGAAGATGACCGGATCCAAGCTGGCATTGAAGGTGCTGAGGAGCAAGGCCTCATCCCTCCACCGTGGATCTTCCCACTGGATGAAGCCCACCACGTGGGAGATGTTGTAAGGCGAGAAGCAGACGATGAAGACGGCTAACGTGGCCGACACCAGCCCCACAGCTCGCTGCTTTTTGCTCCTGCGGATGTGCGGCGAGGAGATCACGATCCTCATGAAGCCAAAGTAGCAGAAGCAAGTGAGCAAGGATGGGACCAGGAAAAGGACGATGCCAAGCTCCAGGCGGACGGGGAGCAGGATGGCGAGCTGGACATCTGTGAAGTTCTTGTAGCAGTTTTTATGGGAGCCGTTGTCTGGCTCTGTGTTGTTGTATGGCTGAAACTCAGTGATGTACACAATGCTGCAATGGGCAAAGGAGCAGGCCCAGAGGCCTAGGCTGGCCACAGCCGCGTAGGCCGAATGGCGCCTCAGCTTGTAGTGGATGGGGTAGGCCACGCCCAGGTAGCGCTCCACGCTCACCGCTGTGAGGAAGAGGGTGCTGGAGTAGATGGTGCTGAAGTAGAAGAGGCCACTGAGGGGACATAGGGGAGCGGGGAGAGGCCACTGCCCGGCAACCGCCTCTGCCACCTTGAAGGGCAGGAAAGCCAGGAAGCAGAGGTCAGAAACAGTGAGGTTGAGGAGGAGGACACAGTTGGGCGTGGCCTTGGTCTTCAGCTTCTTGATGAGGGCATACAGGGCCAGAAGGTTGGTGGGAAAGCCCGTCAGGATGGTGAGCAGGTAGATGGAGAGGTAAACACCAGAAGGCATGCCAGATGCTTTTTCACCTGTGTGGGGAGATAAGGTGTGTGAGAGAAGCCATTTGTGAGGAGGAGAAAAGAGGAAGGAAAATAAATCTGATGCTGAGCAGTTGCCCTCAGACATTTCCTTTTGAAAAATATTGTTGTGGAAGTTCATCAGCATTTCAGTGCAAATTCCTAATATGCACATATATAGAAAACAGTGGCACATTTTTGCAAAGCAGCTTTCCTTTCCATAATGGGTTTTGGTTTGCTGTTTTCACTAATGGGTGAATTCTTATGCACACCTCGCCTGTGCTATTTTTCTAGAAAAAGAGGTGCCAGAACTCATCGTGAACACCTCTCTCAGTCTCTTAGAATGACAATGGCGCCCACATGAGAGGTGCCGGAACTGAGTTCCGGTGAGTTCCGGCTTTATACATATGAGTTGGGTAGAGAACAGCATCTCAAAATACAGAGACTGGCAAATTTCGAAGGATGTTGTGTTTGCTCAGGTATTATTTCAGAAAGTGCAAATTAGGTAGGTTTGCCTTTAAATGAGAACTGGATTTATTCTCTCTCTCTCTCTCTCTCTCTCTCTCTCTCACACACACACACACACACACACACACACACATTGAGAGGTTGTGGATAAGACCTGCGATGTATCTGAAGGTTGCTGAGACAAGATGGCAACCAGATCATCTGCTTCTCTGTTTGCTTCGCAAACCATTTTTAATCCACCCTCTGAATTTACCCCCCACAGCGGTCCTGCGTAGGGCAGACGAGATGTAATCCAGCCAGGGACTGGAAGTCAGCCAAGAAGAGGTGAAGAAAGTTTATTTCTTTATTATTTGCTTTGCAATACATGTGAGCCAGGGAGAAATTGAGAGGGCAGCCAATCAAACCCAACATTTATTTGTCCGCCTTGGTAGGTCTGGAGCCAATCTTTCTGTGCCAGCCTGTTCCAATCTCCTCCAGACTGACTGCTCTGGTTCAGGAGCTTTCTGCTGTGAATACTTGGGAAATAACACATGCCTGGCTTATTCTCTGTCTTTAAGATCCCCATCCGCACCATGCATTTAAGGCAGTATCATACCATTTCAAACAGACGTAGCTTCCCTCAAAGGGTGCTGAGAGCTGTTAGCCACCCCTCCCAGTTTGGTGTCATCTGCAAATTTGATCAGGATGCCATTGAGTTCATCATCCAAGTCGTTGATAAAGATGTTGAATAAGACCGGGCCCAAGACAGAACCCTGTGGCACCCCACTAGTCACTCTTCTCCAGGATGAAGAGGAACCATTGATGAGCACCCTTTGGGTTCGGTCAGTCAGCCAGTTACAAATCCACTGAGTGGTAGCATAGTCAAGACCGCATTTTACCAGCTTCTTTACAAGAATATCATGGGGCACCTTGTCGAATGCCTTGCTGAAATCAAGGTAGGCTACATCCACTGCGTTCCCTTCATCTACCAGGCTTGTAATTCTGTCAAAAAACGAGATCAGGTTAGTCTGACATGACTTATTTTTCAGAAATCCATGCTGACTATTGGTGATCACAGCATTCCTTTCTAGGTGCTCACAGACTGTTTGCTTAATGATCTGTTCCAGAATCTTCCCTGGTATTGATGTCAGACTGACTGGGCGGTAATTATTTGGGTCCTCTCTTTCCCCCTTTTTGAAAATAGGGACAACATTTGCCCTCCTCCAGTCTGCTGGGACTTCGCCTGTTCTCCAGGAATTCTCAAAGATGACTGCCAGTGGTTCTGAGATCACATCTGCCAGTTCTTTTAATACTCTTGGATCCAGTTCATCTGGCCCTGGAGACTTGAATACATCTAAGCTAGCCAAGTATTCTTGTACTATCTCCTTAGTTATTCTGGGCTGTGTTTCCTCTGCTGAATCATTTGCTCCAAATTCTTCAGATCGGGCATTGTTTTCTTAATCGGAGAAGACTGAGGCAAAGAAGGCATTGAGGAGTTCAGCCCTTTCTGTGTCCCCTGTTTGCATTTCACCATCTTCTCCTCTGAGTGACCCCACTGTTTCTTTGTTCTTCCTTTTGCTACGAACATACCCATAAAAGCCTTTTTTGTTGCTTTTAACCTCTCTAGCAAGCCTGAGTTCATTCTGTGCTTTAGCTTTTCTGACTTTGTGTCTACATGTGCTGGCTATTTGTTTGAATTCCTCTTTGGTGGTTTCCCCCCTTTTCCATTTTTTGTACACATCCTTTTTTAATCTTAACTCAGTTAAAAGTTCTTTAGATAGCCACCCTGGCTTCTTTAGGCACCTTCCATGTTTCCGTCTCATTGGTATTGCCTGAGGTTGTGCTTTTACTATCTCCCTCTTAACAAACTCCCAGCCATCATGAACTCCCTTTCCTTTTAGTATTACTGTCCATGGGATCTCACCCAGCACTTCCCTAAGTTTTATGAAGTCGGCTTTCTTAAAGTCAAGAAATTGAGTTCTAGTATGCTTGGCTGCTCCTTTCCGTTGTATAGTAAACTTCAGAAGAGCATGATCACTTGCGCCTAATGATACCTCCACTTCTACCCCACTAACCAGGTCATCAACATTGGTTAGGACCAGATCTAAAATGGCTGTTCCTCTTGTTGCTTCTCCCACTTTCTGGACAATGAAGTTGTCTGCAAGGCCAGTGAGGAATCTGTTTGACCTTATGCTCTTGGCTGAGTTTGACATCCAACAAATATCCGGGTAATTGAAGTCCCTTCCTTTTGCATGCTTGGCCATCTGTTCCAGGAAGGCATCATCTATGTCCTCCGTTTGGCTTGGGGATCTATAGTAAACTCCCACAATGAGGTCTCTGTTATTCTTCTCTCCCTTAATTTTGACCCAAATGCTCTCACTTTGGCTTTGAGGTTCTAAATCTTGGATCTCTTCACAGGTATACACATCCCTGACATATAACGCCACTCCTCCTCCTTTCTTGTCTGGTCTGTTTCTCTGAAACAGATTGTATCCCTCCATTATTACATTCCAATCGTGGGACTTATCCCACCAGGTTTCAGTGATGCCTATTATGTCATATTTAGTTTGCTCTACCAAGAGCTCAAGCTCATCTTGTTTATTTCCCATGCTTTGCGCATTAGTGTACAGACATTGAAGTCCATTAATCATTCCCCCGTGTCTCTTATTTAAGGATTTTTTCCTCCCACCACTAGGTCTGTGTGCTGTTTGCTCCATTTGGTCTATGACATTTGGATGATCATCTTCATCAATTGATAGACTCCTACCTTCAGGAGCACTGTCTCCCTCCCCCACATTAGTCAGTTTAAAGCCCTCCTGATGAGGTTTCTGAGATTTTTGGCAAAAACATTCCTCCCAACCGTTGTGAGGTGCAGCCCATCGCTTGCCAGAAGTCCATCTTCAAGAAACTGCAGTCCGTGATCTAAGAATCCAAACCATTCCTGTTTACACCATTTGCGAAGCCAGCTGTTCACTTCCACTATTTTTCCCTCTCTCCCTGGGCCACGTCGTTCAACTGGGAGGACAGATGAGATGACAATTTGTGCATTTAATTGCTTCAATTTCCTGCCCAGAGCCTCGTAGTCTCTTTTGATCTTCTGGAGGCTATGGCTTGCAGTGTCATTGGTTCCCACATGAACCAAGAGGAAGGGGTATTTGTCAGTGGGTTTTATGATTCCTTGCAGTCGTTCAGTTACATCTTGGATCTTAGCCCCGGGGAGACAGCACACCTCCCAAGACATCTTGTCAGGCCCACAGATCACTGCTTCTGTTCCCCTCAGTAGGGAATCCCCTATCACCACTACACACCTCCTCTTAGGTTTGGTCGGGGTTCTTCCGTGAGCTGTCCGTTCCAAGGTCGCCTGGACATTCCCTGAGGACTAACTTTGCTGCTCGGCTTCATATACCTGATCGACTGTAATGAGGGAGAAATCCTCAAATGGAGTCTGTTCTTTGTCTTCCATGCTAGGGGAGAGGACTTCAAAGCGATTGTGTATTTCTAAATAATCAGAGCGAACCCTGGGCCTCCTACTTCTTTGAGTCATGTTTCTCCATATATCTGGCACCTGTGTTGGTGAACTAGCCTCCTTCTCAGGGGTGTCCCCTGTCTCCTCCTTGGTGGAGATGGTGTTCTCTGTTGCTTCCAAGAAGAGTTCCAGCTCTCTTATTCGTTGGAGCATAGCTACACGTTCCTCCAGTTGCTGGACTTTGTCTTCTAAGAGGGCAATCAACATACAATTGCTGCAGGTAAAGCTGCCTGCAACCTTTGGCAAGATGGCAAACATTGCGCAGGAACCGCAGGCGACTGCAGCTGTTCCCTCACCCTCCATCTTGAAAGCAAGTCGTTGGGGGTGGCTACAGTGGTCCTCCATCTTAAAAAGCGTGGAGACAGGACAAATACCCCCCCCCCAAAAAAAAACCTAGGTCTCCCCCAACAAACGTTTGAGACTAGCTCCCCTAAACCTAAAAGATGGATCAAACTGCGCGCGCTGCTGCCCTGCAAGCTCTGATAAGCTCCTCCCACAGCTAATCACCTGACTCAACAGAAACCCTGCCCCCTCTGATCTTTGCACAGGGAGAGCAGCTAATCAGCCACAAAGAAACACACACACAAGAAAACCCTTTTGCTCCTCCTTCAGCTGCTGCCTCCCAAGTTTATAATATTAAAATCAGTTAAAACAATTTACAATCAAGGGAATAGGGTGGGTTCTGATATTGGTATATTTTAGATGCTAAAGTTCAGGGTAAAGAGGTGTGACGTCAGCATGTAATGAAACTATATCATATACAACAAAAGTGCCAGACACACCTCTGTGGGGAAGATCAAAATTCTGCAGTTTAGGGGCTGCCCCAGAGAATGCCCTCTGCAAGTCTCCCACCCAGTGGACTTCCAAGGGCAGTGGAAATATCATAGGGGAGGGGGCTCTACCAATCTTCCAGCTATTTGGGAGCAAAGAGGTTTAGGGTTGCATTCACATGGCAACTTGTCTCGTTTTTCCTGACGTTCCTCTGTTATTTTCCACATTATATTTGAGTTTTTGCAGAATGTAAATGCTCATTTCTGTA